AGCCAAACTGACTGGGACTGAGTATGTCGAATTTTACGAGGTAGAAGTAGAACTATTTGTAGATCATTTTTTTCAAATATTTTTGATTGTATGGGTAGGTTTGATAGGTTACAATCACTTAGTTACTATCTACAGTTAACAAACTAAAAATATTTGGCTAAAATTTCTGGTAGAAAGATCATTTCGAATGAAATATTTATACATCGTTGGAAAGATGTTAGAATTGTCTCTTAAGTCACGTATCTTTTCGCATTCCATCACATAGTGGGTTACCTTGAGGTTACCTTGAGGTGCTTCCGGGGCTTAGCGTCCCCGCGGCCCGGTCGTCGACCAGGCCTCCTGGTTGCTGGACTGATCAACCAGGCTGTTGGACGCGCTGCTCGTAGCCTGACGTATGAGTCACAGCCTGGTTGATCAGGTATCCTTTGGAGGTGCTTATCCAGTTCTCTCTTGAACACTGTGAGGGGTAGGCCAGTTATGCCCCTTATGTGTAGTGGAAGCGTGTTGAACAGTCTCGGGCCTCTGATGTTGATAGAGTTCTCTCTCAGAGTACCTGTTGCACCTCCGCTTTTCAACGGGGGTATTCTGCACATCCTGCCATGTCTTCTGGTCTCATGTGATGTTATTTCTGTGTGCAGGTTTGAGACCAGCGCCTCTAATATTTTCCACGTGTAAATTATTATGTATCTCTCCCGCCTGCGCTCAAGGGAGTACAGATTTAGGCTCTTTAGTCGGTCCCAATAGTTTAGGTGTTTTACTGAGTGGATTCTAGCAGTAAAGGCCAAACTAGCACACCCTCACACTAGTGACGGAGGGTGTGCGAATAATTTTGTTGACACAGTTTACATTTGGTCAGGTCTACATCAGCAGATAGTAAGAATTCCCAGAGATAATCTTAGATGCGTAACCGAGTCTAAGCCGAGCAGTAGTAACATCTAGAAGTCTGCATTTGAATTTGAATATGAATAGTCGCAGTATGTAAAAGTTTACCCTAAATCGTGCTCTTTCAAATGCATTCGCGATATTACATAAAAGAAAATTTAACGTTGATTGATGAGTAACTATGAAATTTTAAACTTTTCTCTCTATCCAATTCCCAATGCTTTCAACAATATAATCTTTCGTAGGTTTGTAATAATTTTTATTGTTATTAAACAACCAATGTTCCCAAAATGATAGGCCTACGTAATTTTCCAGAAATGAAAGGATATGGGCATTCCAATCTCTGTTGTAAAAGCCGCAATATTTCAGGAAATTATGGAAGACAGAAGGGCACTCACTAACACACAAAGACCAAAAAGCACGAGTATATGACATGTTTAGAACGGAGAATTATATGTACGGGCAGCATAAAACATCCACTAGACAGTGTGACATTGTAACTGCCAGAATTAGGCTGGGATAGCGATACCAATAGCAGGTGGCTGCAGGTAATGAATCCCCCAATGGAGAATATTCGAACTGTAAGCTATGTGAACAAGAGCTGGGACATACTCCCCAACACTATATCTGTGACTGCCCTGTTATAAGTGACTTCAGACCAAATGGTATGAGGTACTTTGAGCTTTGTAATTACTTCATACACTCAGGAATATTGTAAGATATTCATATGCTGAACCCAGATTCTGCTAGTGGTGGGTTGCAGATCAATCAGCCTTATATTTTATGTTCTCACATTTTTAGTCAGAGTTGATTTGTTTTTGTATTGAGGCTGGTATTTTCTGCCCCTTATTCCATGTTTGACTATCCAGTTAGATAGGAATATTAGATGAACTTATAGCTAGTTTTTTATCTACACTGTGTAATTTTTCATATAGCATAGGGTAGCAGCACATTACTGTGTATACCTAAGCTTGTTAATAAAAAAAACAACAGGTTTTGAGGCTGGCTACAGCCTGTACAGAGAATGGGGGGACCAACCATACCACCACGACAGTGTGGCCAGGAATGTTCCCTTCCCATAGCCCTCCATTCCTCACTCTGCCTGGCATATTTCGTGTTATGAAATAAATCAAATGATTTTCAATTATAGTATCAACATAACTGTTTAGGGCAGCAATATCCCAGGAACATCAACTAAATTTCGGAGACTTGAGGCAAAGTGAAATTCACACCAGTTACTCCATCTATCATCATTCTAATATGCAGGAAGAACCGCACGTCTATGGGTCATCCAATAAGGTTAGCAGACTTCTAGATGTTACCACTGCTAGGCTTAGGCAGTGGTAACGATTCGTCACCTAGAGAATTTATTTATTTATTTATTTATATGTATACAAGAAGTTACATTGGGTTTATGAGAGTACATAGCATAATGTGTTTACATTCTTGTAAAGCCACTAGTACACACAGCGTTTCGGGCAGGTCCTTAATCTAACAGATAATATTAAGTAGTAATTTCTAGCAAAATTTATAAAATATTAACAGGTATATTGTAAGAAAATTTGAGAGAGATTAGTAGGTATATTAAAGTACATTAAAGCACATTGAAAGCTTTGATTGAAAGCATTGATATCTTGATTGATAATAAGACAAAGATTAGTAGGCACTGATAGCACACTGATAGCACATATAAGATGCCAACAATGTTTAATGGTAAAGTTGTAAGGCTTAAGGTGTATATATTTTGGGGGATTGCATAGCACACAATGTGTTCAATATAACAACCATGATAAATATGATATCAATGAATACAATGGTAAAGTTATTTGACTTAGGTACATATAATGGGGGATTGGGGAGCACAAAATACAGATACAGTGGATACAGATTCAGATACAGATTATAAACTCGCACTGGATAGTGAGCGAGTTTAAAGCACAAGGTAGGAAACTATGAAGATGAAATTATGTACTTTTTGGTTTTATTTTTGAATAAGGCAAAAGTTGGACAGCTTTTCAATTCGTTAGGGAGTGAGTTCCATAGACTAGGTCCCTTTATTTGCATAGTGTTTACACAGATTAAGTTTGGCTCTAGGGATATCAAAGAGATATTTATGTCTGGTGTAGCGATTATGTGTTCTATTACATCTGTCCAGGAAGAGTTTCAGACCAGGATTTGCACTTAAGAAAAGGGTTTTGTAAATATAATTGACACAAGAGAATGTGTGGAGTGAATTTATAGTTAGCATGTTTAGGGATTTAAACAGGGAAGCTGTATGTTGTCTGACTGCAGAGTTTGTTATTGTTCTGATAACAGATTTTTGCTGGGTGATGATGGGCTTGAGGTAGTTTGCAGAGGTTGAGCCCCATGCACAAATACCATAAGTAAGATACGGATAGCTAAGTGCATAATATAGTGAGAGGAGAGTAGAGTACTTAATATCTGATCTTAGAGAGTATACCAGCTATTTTAGAGACTTTCTTAGTTATGTGTTGTATGTGGGTACTGAAGTACCCACAATAAATACCCACAGTACCCTTAGAAATATACTAAGTATAGGTCAAGGAACTTTCCATCATTTTTATTGCTAATGTTTACATTGTCTATCTGAAGCTGAATTGCATTTGTTGATTTGCTTCCAAATAAGATATAGTAGGTCTTTTCTATTTTTTTTTTTTTGAGATATATACAAAAGATGTTACATTCTTGTACAGCCACTAGTGCGTGTAACGTTTCGGGCAAGTCCCTGGAATACGATCCCCGCCGCGAAGAATCGTTGTTACAACCAAGTACCCATTTTACTGTTGAGTTAAACAGAGGCTACAGTAAAGGATTTGCGCCCAGTAAATCCTCCCCGGCCAGGATACGAACCCATAACAAAGCGCTCGCGGAACGCCAGGCGAGTGTCTTACCACTACACCACGGAGACTGGTGTATCTGTGTTTAGATGTCTTATTATGGTGTCTTACTATGTTTAGTAAGAGTTTGTTGGCTGACATCCATAAGTGGACTTTTTTTTATTAATTGTTTACATTATTTAATATGAGTGGATTCAAAAATTTAAATTCAATGAAAATTAAAAAAAAATCTATTAATTCAAAACAGTTGATCATTGTACACCTGAATAGGTTAAAACGTTTTCAAGGGTCTAACCTTGTGTAATGCACTGTTAGTTGTGCTACTCAGATTGAGGAAGAGACGGGTGATGGAGATGACTAATCCTGGCCTATCTATTTATAATTTTGTCATGAAGATGTTTCATTTCGAGGAGGACCAACATGATGAGGTACAACAGTTTCTTGAGGAGTTTGACGAATTCCTTCATGTCTGTTGATGAATTGAAGACTGTAGCACTGGGTACATACAATGCTTCATCTGCCTCTTTTAGTATCTATGGTGAGATCTTCTCAGGACGTGTAACTTTCTTCACATCCACCTCCTTTAATTGTTTCTTTATTTCCTCTGGTGTCATTTCTGTTTCAGTATTTCTTCTGGTAGTGCCTGTTCCAGTAGATGCCATAGATGATAGCAGCTCTGGGTCTATCTTAAAAACTTCCTGGACGCTTCTATTAAGTTCTTCACACACTTTATCATTCCTTGTGTGACCTATCTTGTGTAGCCTGATCACTTCTTACATCTACAATCTGGTACTGAGTTACTTGGATAATATTTTGTTTTAAAAAATGGACAGAAAAGTGATTTTGCATTGTCTAGGAACTCTGAAATTATTTTTTTAATTATTCAGAGTTCCAAAACTCTGAATTAAAGGACAACATATTATCCAAATAGCTCAATGCCAGGCCACAAACGTTTACTATGCATTGACAATCATAGGAAACACAGGAAATAAGCCTATTCACCAGTAACTTTAATGTAATATATTGTAAAATAAACAAAAATTCATTGTTTCCCAATATTTTTTACACACACACACATATATACATACATACACACACACACACACACACACACACACACACACACACACACACACACACACACACACACACACACACACACACACACACACACACACACATATATATATATATATATATATATATATTATGTATTCTACACAACTGCCTGTTACCAACTAGAGGATAAATAAACACTAGTTCTCTTAATCTTTCCATTTTATTTCAGCGTTTTTGTAAATAAGTTGACAGGTTGAGGAACATAATGTACACGGTAAGAGGAACACCAGAATGACACATAACAACTTAACATGTATAGGCGAGGCTTCACCTCAACCCGTCGCTCCAGCTGTGCTTGGGTGAGATGAACACTGAGTCATTGTGACCGTTGAACTAGCCGGTCAGGTAAAGCTGGTTGTCTAATGCAACGGTAACCTTCCCTCTGGGTCAGATTACAGCCATCACACGGCTGTAGTTTCGAGGCCAAATTCACTCGTGTGATTGTCGATGGGCAAGCTGGCGAATATGGATGGCTTCAAGCGTGTGTAGCCTCCTCCGGTCACTGGTGATTGTGGGTGTTTTTAACTATGTCGTGACGATTCATGGATGGTGTGGATAAATGAGTGATATTGTTTTATTCCTCCTTCCTGTAAACGAAGTTTAAGACGCCTACTCTCTCACACACTTTATTTACAGGAGTATTTTTATTGTATAACAGTTTAATTTATGGATATCATGAAGTTTGGTGTGAATAATGGTAAGGAGTTAACGGGTTGGTTTAGAAGGGAACATATTGAACACTGACGGAGTGTTATCGCGGAAAATAAAGTAAAGACATTGTTGTAGACATGAAGTCGGGCTGTAATTTTTCTAAATAGCAAAAAAATAATATTTGTTTAGTTACACACATGCCTTTCTTACTCTACAAAAATTCTCTTGGAAAGCCGACTGAAGTTGGTTACTCTTTAATATCGATATATTCATTCTCTTAAAGGCCGTTGGCAGAACTCGCGGTGTGGAAGCCTCAGGTGACAATGAAGAACCAATTTCCCGGAAAACTGATGGAAGTTGGCGACTGTCTGTAGAGAATATATGCACTTTTTCAAATGCCGTTTGCAGAACCCGTGGTGTGGAAGCCTCAGGTGACAATGAAGAACCAATTTCCCGGAAAATTGATGGAAGTTGGCGACTGTCAGATTCAGGAAGATTAACCTTCTCAAAGGCTCGAAGAAAAACTTGACCCGCCGAAGTCTCCCAGGAGAACGAAGTCCCATTTTCCCGGAAAGCCGATGGAAGTTGGCGAGGTGTTGACTCAAGGAAGTCTACCGTCTGGAAGGCTGTAGGCATGATTAGTGTCGTGGCGGCCTCGGGGGACACGGTGGCGTTCTTCTCCTGGAATGCTGACTGGAACTCTGGATTGATCGACCGTCTTGCCGAGTGCCTGAGTGAAAGTAGAGAGACATGGATTAGTGTTTGTGTATTTTAGTCAGGAAAATAATTAAGACACAAACGCGGATATTGTCTAAATAATAACGTGATCCTTCAGTAGTCACAACATTTGTCCAAAGCTGTAGAGCATTAACCAAGGTCCTTAGAGCCTTAACCCAAGTCTTCAGAGCCTTAACCCAAGTCTTCAGAGCATTAACCCAAGTCTTCAGAGCATAAACCCAAGTCTTCAGAGCATTAACCCAAGTCTTCAGAGCATTAACCCAAGTCTTCAGAGCATTAACCCAAGTCTTCAGAGCATTAACCCAAGTCTTCAGAGCATTAACCCAAGTCTTCAGAGCATTAACCCAAGTCTTCAGAGCATTAACCCAATTCTTCAGAGCATTAACCCAAGTCTTCAGAGCATTAACCGAAGTCTTCAGAGCCTTAACCCAATTCTTCAGAGCATTAACCCAAGTCTTCAGAGCATTAATCCAAGTCTTCAGAGCATTAACCCAAGTCTTCAGAACATTAATCCAAGTCTTCAGAACATTAACCCAAGTCCTTAGAACATTAAACCAAGTCTTGACTTAAGTAATAATCGTGTTATTAGCTGTTAAATATTTATTATTAAGTTGACGTAGTATCAGCAACATGACAGTAGACCTAGTGTCAGTAACACTTCAGTGGTATTAATAGTATCATGTTATCGTCACTTGTAAAACGAACTCATCACCACTTCATTATAAAGCTACACATTTACGTATGTGCGCCGTCTTGGGCATAACTTAGTGTACAGTTGATAGTACACTAGGCTTTCGACCTGCCCGAAACGCTGTGCGTACAAGTTTCTTTACAAGAATGTAAACACATTATGCTATGTATGCTCATAAACCCAATGTACTTTCTTGTCTATATATATATATATATATATATATATATATATATATATATATATAAATTAATAAAAAGGGGCAATACTTGTCTCAGGAAAATCTAGATTTAGTTGCTGTAGGCTTTTCTCGAAACCTGTTTAAAATAAATATAACAGAATGTGGTTCATTTTAGCGTTCAAAAGACCATACTTTGTAGTTCTATCGATAATAACGAGAGGTAGTATCAGTTTTGGATAACAAATTGTATAGGGATATCAATTTATGATTTCATTGATGATGAAGTAAGCGGTGTCCTGGGTGAGGAATACCTCAGGCCTCTAAAGGTACGTTATCTTGGGGTTCATCAGACCTCTAACTGTACGTTATCTTGGGGTTCATCAGGCTCCTAACTGTACGTTATCTTGGGGTTCATCAGGCACCTAACTGTACGTTATCTTGGGGTTCCTCAGTCCCCTAACTGTACCTTATCTTAGGGTTCCTGCTCGGCACTGAACCGGCTACACAACTGCTCGCTCAGGACACTGACGATATGTGCATATATGGTATGGAAAATATCCGCAGTATAATTGTATTAGCAATTTATAGGGAGTTTACAAGGAGTAAACTCTCCCTCCCTTAGAAGCCTCTTATACGCGCCTGCCCGAAACGCTATGCGTGTTGGTGGCTCTGCAAGAATGTAAAAACACCAATGTTATGTACTCTCAGAAACCCAATGTACCTTCTTGTAAATAAATAAATAAATAAATAAAAAATAAACTTCAGTAAGATGATGCCCAATGTGTTTAACAACTTCTGCTCTGTTGAATCTTAGTGGAAATCTTATTGGGTTTGTAATTGTGCACCGTGTTAGATTATGTTCCAGGGGTCTGGCGGGCATTTCGCCACAGTGGTGACATTTCCTCTCATCTTCTGAAACTTGTAAGCCTAAAAAAATAAGTAAATAAATAAATAAATAAATAAATAAATAAATAAATGAAGGCGGCCAACCTGGATGCTCCAGCATACCTCATCACGAAGCCAAAAATAATGACATTCATTTGATTTTATCTCGGTAATATTGATTATTAATTATAAATATGCCTTAGCTTAGTGTTAGAGGTGTTAATCAGAATAAATAAGCATATTATTTATAAATTAACAATGAAAATAAATGATCCAACGCCACTAACTTGTGTGAGAAGGAGGGAGGGCGACGCCATGACCACTCACCAAGGAGGCGCCTCCACACCTCGGCTCCCAGAATTCCGGACTTTCATACGCTTTGTTGTGCTTGTATGACTAATAAGTGTCATTATATGGACGTATGTGTCTGTACAAGAGTTCAAGTAGTGTCTAGTAGTTAAATAAATATTAATACTGAGTGAAATTACTGAAATAAGTGATATCAAAGTATCAACAATCTTCCGGCTGCGACGTGATGGTACTCTCAGGCTCGTCATGAAAATATTATGGCCGGGTCTACTAGAAGTTGACCTGAGCATCCGGTCTCCGTCACGGCAATACGGCACGGTATGTGGCTTTTAGATTTTTATTGGTTTGACGCCAAATGGATATTACATATGCCAGTATTTAACCCACAGTAGCACCGGTTAGGAAGTGGGTTTAACACCAAGCCAAATATATTTACGTGTTGAAGTGAATAGTTAATTAATTCATGTGCCTCAAAATTTTGATACTGAGAGCAACTCTTATACTTATTTTAATTCATTAATATGATTGATAGTATACTAGGCTATTATATGAATTACTATTGCTTATAGCTGTAAAATATTCCGAGGTAAACACCCAACCAGTGCCTCGCTGCATATATTATCAATTTAAATCACTTTACCGATGTGAAAGTCTCCGGCAGGTGGTAGGTAGGAGGAGCATCTACATCCCTTTACTACATGACCTCTTGTCTACAAAGACTTTCACTCAGTAAAGAATACTTCCCTACAGCACTCAGTAAAGAATACTTCCCTACAGCACTCGGTAAAGAATACTTCCCTACAGCACTCAGGTAAGCTACAGTCTCTTGTTTATTGATTTAATATTTTTCAATATAATTAGTATATAGTATTCTAGAGTTGTTGTTTTACTTAAACTCAATACCCACAAATCCTGTTATCTTTCAGAATTACTGTATCAGTACTCAATGGAATGAGTATTTTGAATATTTAAGTAGTTCATTTATATAAGGGTTTGGGGTTTTGACAAGAGTGTTCAACGTCTAAAGATCCCCGATATAGGCCAAATATGCATTTGTTTGTCCATCTAATTGTTAGGAATTTGTCAGACTGGCAGAATAACGAGCAGAAAAGCCTAACTTAACCTATCTTAGAACTAACCTAACCTAACCTGAAAGAGACTAACCTAAGACTAATCTAGTCTAAGACTAACCTAACCTAAGAATAACCTAACCTAAGACTAACCTAACCTAACCTAACTTAACCTAACCTAAATAAAGCCTAACCTATCCAAGGCCTAACCCAACCAAACGTATTCTATCTTAAGCTTTATCTAACCGAATTAAAGCATCACTATGTTTTTTTTTTTACCAAAAATTACGCCTTTCTGGATAATGCAGATATTACGAAAAGACTCACGGGGCTACGAAAATTCCCTTGGGCTATGAAAATGTCTCTGTGGCTACGAAAATGCCCGAGGCTATGAATATGTCCCTAATGCTCGAGAAAATGTCCTTGGGATTATAGAAGTGCTCCTCACTAGGGCTATGGTAGTGTCCCTGGAGCTATGGTTACCTACCTGAAGGTGGCGAGGACGCCCATGGTAATGTTACCTACCTGAAGGAGGCGAGGTGGTGGCGACGGTGATAATGGTATCCCCCACGGTATATGTCGCGGGCGGCGGCAACACCCACCAGCGCCGCCAGCAACACCTGACGCAACACATGACACATTAACCAGGGTGGCAGTAACACATGATGCAACACATGACACATTAACCAGTGGGAAGGGGGGCAGTATTTAAAGAATGCAGTTATTAGATCAATGTTAGCTGTGCCAGCGTATTGCAACCTCAGACAGTGTATCAATCTGCAAGGACTGACTGGGAAGAGATAGTGTGCTTAACAAACAAATATTGCAAACATGCTGCAGTTGTTGATAGGTGGAGGTGAACGAGGCCAAGTATTAGCCTCATTCTAGTATCTAGAATGAGGCTAATACTAAAATGAGAATTCTAGTACCACATTTGCTAGCCTAGTACTTAGCTTATATTGCCTATCTCAATGGCGCAACCCCAAACTTGCACTTTCACAAGGGCTTATGTGGGTGCGGCAGGTACTCTGACCCAGTTAGTCAACCGCAAGTCAGCGGCAATTGCACACTGCAGCCGCACTGCGCAACATTACGATGTGCGCCAAAGGCGGTAGACGAAACTGTATTTTAGAAAAGGCATGAGTGTAGCACTAATCAATGCACTTCTACGTATTTATTTGTATTTCATTATTTATATGTATATTCAAGTAGGTACGGCAGAGTTAGTACAGATTTTGGTTATTAGGTAGTACAGTTTCCCTAGTCTAACCTGCATTATGTTTCAGCTGTGTTAGAGCTAATACAAAATTCACTGTTAACAATGAAATGAAATTAGTTACTGCAGGTTACCAGCCTTGCCTGGTTCACTGCTGGTTACCAGCCTTGCCTAGTTCACTGCTGGTTACCAGCCTTGCCTAGTTCACTGCTGGTTGGAGGTGGAGAGTATCTGCTAGATCAGTCTGACCTGAACCGCACTCAACCTGACCTGAGCCACACTAGACCTGACCTGAGCCACACTCGACCTGACCTGAGCCACACTCGACCTGACCTGAGCCACACTCGACCTGACCTGAACCACACTCTACCTGACCTGAGTAACATTATGTATGTAACTCATCTTCCATGTATGTACTTTTACCTGAATAAACATTTGAATTTTTAATTTGAATTTATTACTTGGGAGGACTGGTTGGTTCGTTGGGGGAGGCCCCGCGAGAGGGCACCACGTGCTGGGTGACGGCCCAGGTAAACATATGACTGGCACTTGCACCAGTTTGTTTACACTTGCACCAGCTTGTTTACACTTGCACCAGCTTGTTTACACTTGTACCAGCTTGTTTACACTTGCACCAGCTTGTTTACACTTGCACCAGTTTGTTTACACTTGTACCAGCTTGTTTACACTTGCACCAGCTTGTTTACACTTGCACCAGTTTGTTTACACTTGCACCAGCTTGTTTACACTTGCACCAGCTTGTTTACACTTGCACCAGTTTGTTTACACTTGCACCAGTTTGTTTACACTTGCACCAGTTTGTTTACACTTGTACCAGCTTGTTTACACTTGCACCAACTTGTTTACACTTGCACCAGTTTGTTTACATTCGCACCAGCTTGTTTACACTTGCACCAGCTTGTTTACACTTGCACCAGTTTGTTTACACTTGCACCAGTTTGTTTACACTTGCACCAGTTTGTTTACACTTGTACCAGCTTGTTTACACTTGTACCAGCTTATTTACACTTGCACCAGTTTGTTTACATTCGCACCAGTTTGTTTACACTTGCACCAGCTTGTTTACACTTGCACCAGCTTGTTTACACTTGCACCAACTTGTTTACACTTGCACCAGCTTGTTTACACTTGCACCAACTTGTTTACACTCGCACCAGTTTGTTTACACCTGCACCAGCTTGTTTACACTTGCACCAGTTTGTTGACACATGGGTCCGTGTAGACTACACACACGGGTCAGTGTAGACTACACACACGGGACAGTGTAGACTACACACACGGGTCAGTGTAGACTACACACACGGGTCAGTGTAGACTACACACACGGGTCAGTGCAGACTACACACACGGGTCAGTGTAGACTACACACACGGGTCAGTGTAGAATACACACACGGGTCAGTGTAGACTACACATACGGGTCAGTGTAGACTACACACACTTGTCAGTGTAGACTACACACGCGGGTCAGTGTAGACTACACACGGGTCAGTGTAGACTACACACACGAGTCAGTGTAGACTACACACACGAGTCAGTGTAGACTACACACACGAGTCAGTGTAGACTACACACACGAGTCAGTGTAGACTACACACACGGGTCAGTGTAGACTACAAACACGGGTCAGTGTAGACTACACACACGGGTCAGTGTAGACTACACACGTGGGTCAGTGTAGACTACACACACGGGTCAGTGTAGACTACACACACGGGTCAGTGTAGACTACACACACACGGGTCAGTGTTGACTACACACATGGGTCAGTGTAGACTAACACGGATAAGTATAGACTACACACACGGGTCAGTGTAGACTACACACACGATTCAGTGTAGATTTCACACACAGGCCAGAGTAGACTACACACATAGGTCAGTGTAGATCACACATAAGTCAGTGTAGACCACACACATGGGCCAGTGTAGACTACACACGTTTCAGTGTAGACTACACACGGGTCAGTGTAGACCACACACGAGTCAGTGTAGACTACACACACGAGTCAGTGTAGCCCACACACACACGAGTCAGTGTAGACTTCACACATGGGTCAGGGTAGAATACACACACGAGTCAGTGTAGACTACACACACGAGTCAGTGTAGACTTCACACATGGGTCAGGGTAGAATACACACACGAGTCAGTGTAGACAACACTCATGGGTCAGTGTAGACCACACACGAGTCAGTATAGACTACACAAACGAGTCAGTGTAGACTTCACACATGGGTCAGGGTAGAATACACACGAGTCAGTGTAGACAACACTCATTGGTCAGTGTAGACTACACACACGAGTCAGTGTAGACTATACACTCGGGTCAGTGTAGATTACACACATAGGTCAGTGTAGATCACACATAAGTCAGTGTTGACTACACACACGGGTCAGTGTAGACTACCCTCATGGGTTAGTGTAAACAACACACTCTAGTCAGTGTAGACCACATACATGGGGTCAGGGTAGACTACACACATGATTTAGTGAAGACTACACACATGATTTAGTGAAGACTACACACATGGGTCAGTGTAGACTACACACACGGGTCAGTATAGACCACACACGAGTCTGTAAACTGCACACATGGGTCAGTGTAGACTACACACGGGTCAGTGTAACCCACACACTCGAGTCAATGTAGACTACACACATGGATCAGCGTAGACTATACACACGGGTCATTGTAGACCACACACACAAGTCAGTGTAGACTACTCACATGAGTCAGTGTAGATGACAGGTGCGAGTCAGTGTAGATCACAGACGCGAGTCAGTGTAGACCTGAGGAGGTAGTGTTGGTAGAGATGATTGTACACTGTAGAGGTGAAAATGGTTGCGGGTGGTGAGGGGTCTACACTGACTGGTCTACGCTGACTGGTCTACACTGACTGGTCTACGCTGACTGGTCCACACTGACTGGTCTACACTGGCTGGTCTACACTGACTGGTCTACACTGACTGGTTGGTTGAAGACATCGGTTGAAGTAAGGACCGCAAGCAACAGCCAGCACTACACACACCTACACCTAACACACATTATGGTTGACAACTCACAACATTCATGAGGAGAACGGCGGACGCGGGACTGCTCAACACCTGCGCACCACACCTAATCAACTCACTCATCCCAAACACCTGCCTTTATATATGAACGCTTGTAACTAGGAATTAGGGCGCGATATAGAAAAGGTGACAGACAAGATAAACCTGCTCTTGGGGTGAGGAGGGGGAGGAGGCCGGCCGACAAGGAGGACCAGAGACTGGGATATGAATTCCAAGAAAGCCGTTCTTGAACTTCAGCTTTAACTCTTAAGTTGGCAAGTGTTTCAGAGCCCTGATGAACGCATTATATTCTGCTGTTGTTACGAAGAATACGTTAGGCTCTTGGACTTATGCTGAACTAACTTGATACGCATTTGTGTTTGGTTATAATACACTATTAAGTCACTATTAAGCGACTACAAGCATGAAAGGTGAAAGGCGCACACGCACAAATACACGCACGAACGCACCCACCCACACGCACGCACGCACGCGCGCACTCACACACACACACACACACACACACACACACACACACACACACACACACACACACACACACACACACACACACACACACACACACACACACACACACAAAGTTTCTTTAGTTTCAAAGCGTTATATGACAAAGAGTGTTAGGAAGACGGGACACCACGATCGTAGCTCTCATCCTGTAACTGCACTTTGGTAATTACACACACACACACACACACACACACACACACACACACATATAGGATACAGAATAGGAGATGAAGTACTTAATGAAACGGACAGAGAGAAAAATCTAGGAGTTGATATCACACCAAACCTGTCTCCTGAAGCCCACATAAAAAGAATAACGTCTGTGGCATATGCGAGGCTGGCTAACATCAGAACAGCGTTCAGGAACCTGTGTAAGGAATCATTCAGAATCTTGTACACCACATATGTAAGACCAATCCTGGAGTATGCGGCCCCAGCATGGAGCCCGTACCTTGTCAAGCACAAGACGAAGCAGGAAAAGTCCAAAGGTATGCCACTAGACTAGTCCCAGAACTAAGAGGCATGAGTTACGAGGAAAGGCTGCGGGAAGTGCACCTTACGACACTGGAAGACAGAAGAGTAAGGGAAGACATGATCACAAATTTCAAAATCCTCAGAGGAATCGACCTGGTAAACAAGGATAAACTATTCAATACTGGTGGGACGCGAACAAGGGGACACAGGTGGAAACTGTGTACCCACATGAGCCACAGGGACGGTAGAAAGAACTTTTTCAGTGCCAGAGTAGTTAACAGATGGAATGCATTAGGCAGTGATGTGGTGGAGGCTGACTCCATACACAGTTTTAAATGTAGATATGATAGAGCCCAGTAGGCTCAGGAATCTGTACACCAGTTGATTGACAGTTGAGAGGCGGGACCAAAGAGCCAAAGCTCAACCACCGCAAGCACAAATAGGTGAGTACAAATAGGTGAGTGCACACACACACAGGGGGGCCTGGTAGCCTGGTGGATAGCGCACAAGACTCGTAATTCTGTGGCGCGGGTTCGATTCCCGCACCAGGCAGGAACAAATGGGCAAAGTTTCTTTCACCCTGAATGCCCCTGTTACCTAGCAGTAAATAGGTACCTGGGAGTTAGTCATCTGTCACGGACTGCTTCCTGGTGTGTGTGTGTGGTGTGGAGAAAAAGAAAAAAAATGTAGTTAGTAAACAGTTGATTGACAGTTGAGAGGCGGGCCGAAAGAGCAAAGCTCAACCCCCGCAAACACAACTAGGTGAATACAACTAGGTGAATACACCACACACACACACACACACACACACACACACACACACACACACACACACACACACACACACACACACAAGGGCTGGCGTACCGAAAGGGAAATTATGAGATGAGAAAATTATTAAGGGATATATACCATGGGACACAGAACTCAGAACTTAGTCCGTACAATACATGGTAGACTATGTCGCCCAAGTGTTAGGAGGCAGTAAACAGGTTCATACTGCCAAGAGCACTCTGCTGGTGTACAGGATCCCTTAACCGCTCGACCACCACGACCGGACGAAAGAGGATGGTAGCCGAGGCTATTTCCATCGTTTTGTTTCCATGTACGTTTACACATGAAAATAGTGAAAATGACAGTCTGCCATTCTTGGATGTACTAATAACAAAAACAGGAACTTCATTAAGCACCAACGTATATACTAAGCCTACCAACATAGGTTTATGCGTGAACGGTAGAAGTGAGTGCCACCAAAGATACAAAACCAGTGTTCTCAATGCTTATATTCGTCGAGTGCTTACCCACTGCTCCGAATGGAGCAACGTGAGTAGAGAGTTTGAAAGAATAACAAAGGTATTGGTGAACAACGAATATTACACCCCCCTCCCCCAGGAAGAGCAGCCCATAGCAGTTGTCTAACTCCCAGGTACCCATTTACTGCTAGGTGAACTGGAGCATCAGGGTGAAAGAAATTGTCCATTTGTTTCCGCCTTCACCAAGGATCGAACCCGGAACCTCAGGACTATGAATCCGAAGCGCTTTCCACTCAGCTGTCAGGCCCCGTAACACAAAATTTCGGCGAAAATTCGGAGATATATAATTCTATTCAGAAATTTCAAGGATACAAAAGATTTTTGTTTAATATAATTTTTTTAATAGAGTTATGTTACTAATATACACGCATATCATTTTCTAATTGCTTAGATTCGTCACCAAACCGTTGAAAAAGGTTCAACGCCTGTCATCGCTAATGTCAAGGTGTCTATACGCTGTGGGCAGCACCTGGGCTGTAGCAGACTCTGGCGAGAGAGGTGAACCCTTCTCAAGGAAGGAAGACGGCAAGCCCCCTACGTCTGAGTCAAAATCTGCCGCCCTGTATGCTGTGGGCAAGACCTGAGCTGTGGCAGACTCTGGCGAGAGAGGTGAACCCCTTTGAAGGAAGGAGGACGGCAAATCGTGTTCGTGTAGGTCAAGATCTACCGCCCTATACGCTGTAGGAAGGACCTGCGCTGTGGCAGACTCTGGCGAGAGAGGTGAACCTTTCTCAAGGAATGAGGATGGTATGTCGGGTTCTTCTGACTGGAGATCAACCTTCCTATATGCAGTAGGCAGGACCAAAGCAGTCGCAGACTCAGGAGACAGTGGAGAGCCCTTTTCGTGGAAAGAAGACTGCAGCTCTTGTCCCTCATTGTCAAGGTCCAACGACCTGTATGCTGTAGGCAGGACCAGGGCGGTTGCGGACTCTGGGGAGAGTGGCGAACCCTCGTCATGGAATGCCGACGGCTGATCAGGGCTTTCCACTTCCGCTATGGACCTATTGCAATACGAAAAGAATTTCTTAACTTTAGAGTACAAGATTTAAAATATGGAGATTGGATATAAAATATAAGATCATAATTTATTTAAAGCGAAACCTAGTCTTAATCATCGCGGTAGACAACGTGAAGGAATTAAACTGGCGGCCATCGAGTGAGACAGGCGGTGGTGACAAGATACAATGATGTGAGAGATCACACCATGGCAAGGTAGCCATATTCAAATGTCCTGGAACAGACGTTGTGTTATACGGCTTCTGAAGGCAGGGATATATTTTTGTGTGATATAATTTTGAATTTCCCGCCCTAAGCAATTCCCGTTATATTTAAATGTCCTGCCTTCTGCAACCCGTCCTCGACTCAAATTCATTACATCCAGCGGTCGACCCCACAGACGCGTTCATAAATTTTTACATGCTGTTCATTCAAAACTGGAATTTTCTCATATAAATTAATATTATAATATATTAACATATTGTGCATATATAGGCATAGGTTAGGTTAGGTGTTTAGATTTTGTTGGCGTATTTGTAGTACGTGGGTGAAGCATTTATAGCGTTGTGGTTCGAACAAAAGTCATCAGTGAAACACTTGTTCCGGATATGTTCGAACCTCATCAGTTGTGAGTCGTGTGTAAACCGTTTTTCTTTCATAAACAGGGGGTTTGGCGGGTGCATGGAATCACTTTTGGATCTTTGTTTGGAGGACGGACTGGCCTTCTGTTCCCGCCCGAGGCCAGAGTTGCCCACACCGACAATGTCTGGCAAAATTGGGTGTACACTCCAGTTTCCGGAAACATTAGTGTTATTATGAACCTTTGGTAATTTTACGGCGCTGGAAAATAGACAACCAAGTGATGAAAAGGAAGGCAAATGAGTGGAAATTAACAGCTACAGATTATATAACCCTAAAACTATTAAATGAAGAATTAAAATAATATTGGGAAACCAGTGTTGAGTGCGGGGACACAGTGAGGGTGTCAACACACCCAGCATGTGGCTGTATAAGACACAGGACCAACTCCTAACTAAATTCTTCACACAACTAACCCAACCCATCCTCGAGACTGACCCCAAAACACACCTTGTCCGACCTAACCTAACGCAACTACCATTCCTGTAAATAAAATAGTTGAGCTGATACTGGACAAACTCCTAAATAACTACTTAGTACACCTTTATCAAACCTCTCCCCTCGCTGACTCTCCACAAACCTCAACTACTGGAACTAGGCGTAAGAAAACCCCAGCTGGATTAAACTCCTAATAACCTGGCGCTTAGACTGAAAAACCACATCAACCATACCACCAGGACACACCCCACAACCACACTCCCCAGGACATACCCACAACCACACTCCCCCAGAACACACCCCACAACCACACTCCCCAGGACATACCCACAACCACACTCCCCCAGAACACACCCCACAACCACACTCCCCAGAACACACCCCACAACCACACTCCCCAGAACACACCCCACAACCACACTCCCCCAGAACACACCCCACAACCACACTCCCCAGGACATACCCACAACCACACTCCCCCAGAACACACCCCACAACCACACTCCCCAGAACACACCCCACAACCACACTCCCCCAGAACACACCCCACAACCACACTCCCCCAGAACACACCCCACAACCACACTCCCCCAGAACACACCCCACAACCACACTCCCCCAGAACACACCCCACAACCACACTCCCCCAGAACACACCCCACAACCACACTCCCCCAGAACACACCCCACAACCACACTCCCCCAGAACACACCCCACAACCACACTCCCCCAGAACACACCCCACAACCACACTCCCCCAGAACACACCCCACAACCACACTCCCCCAGAACACACCCCACAACCACACTCCCCCAGAACACACCCCACAACCACACTCCCCAGGACATACCCCACAACCACACTCCCCCAGAACACACCCCACAACCACACTCCCCAGGACATACCCACAACCACACTCCCCAGAACACACCCCACAACCACACTCCCTTGAACACACCCCACAACCACACTCCCCCAGAACACACCACACAACCACACTCCCCCAGAACACACCCTACAACCACACTCCCCCAGAACACACCCCACAACCACACTCCCACAGAACACACCCTACAATCACAGTCAAATAAGACAAACAGTCACATCCCAAACATACTGACTGTTGTCAGTATGGCTATGTTGTAATCAGACTGTTGTCTGTATGGCTATGTTGTGACCAGACTGTTGTCGGTATGGCTATGTTGTGGCCAGACTGTTGTCAGTATTCCAGCTTGATGGGGTTCTGGGAGTTCTTCTACTCCCCAAGCCCGGCCCGAGACCAAGCTTGACTTGTGAGAGTTTGGTCCACCAGGCTGTTGCTTGGAGCGGCCCGCAGGCCCACATACCCGTCCACACCGGGTTATCCGGCACTCCTTGAAGAAAACAATCTAGTTCTCTCTTGAAGATGTCTACTGTTGTTCCGGCAATATTTCTGATGCTCGCTGGTAGGAGGTTGAACAACCGCGGACCTCTGATGTTTATACAGTGTTCTCTGATTTTGCCTATGGCACCTCTGTTCTTCACTGGTTCTATTCTGCATTTTCTTCCATATCGTTCACTCCAGTACGATGTTATTTTACTGTGTAGATTTGGGACCTGACCCTCCAGTATTTTCCATTATATTATTTGGTATCTCTCGTCTCCTTTCTAGTGAGTACATTTGGAGAGCTTTGAGACGATCCCAATAATTTAGGTGCTTTATCTCGTCTATGCGTGCCGTATATGTTCTCTGTATTCCCTCTATTTCAGCAATCTCTCCTGCTCTGAAGGGGGAAGTGAGTACTGAGCAGTACTCAAGACGGGACAACACAAATGATTTGAAGAGTACAACCATTGTGATGGGATCTCTGGACTTGAAGGTTCTCTTAATCCATCCTATCATTTTTCTGGCTGACGCAATACTTGCTTGGTTATGCTCCCTAAACGTTAGGTCGTCGGACATCATTATTTCGAAATCCTTGACATGCTGTTTTCCTACTGTGGGCAGACGCGATTGTGTTTTGTACCCTGTATTATGTTTCATATCTTCATTTTTGCCGTACCTGAGTACCTGGAATTTATCACCGTTAAACATCATGTTATTTTCTGCTGCCCAATCCAAAACTTTGTTAATGTCTGTTTGTAGTTTTTCAATGTCTTCAGCAGAGGTAATTTTCATGCTGATTTTTGTATCATCTGCAAAGGATGACACGAAGCTGTGACTTGTATTTTTGTCTATATCTGATCCAATAGGTCCAATACTGGCAGTGGTTTTTGCTTTTGATTTAGCATATGTGAAGAAATATTTTGGGGTTTTCTTTATTTCTTGAATTGCTTTCTGTTCTAGTTGCCTTTCTTCAATCTGATAGGAATGCTTCAGTCTCTGTTCGATTTCTTCAATCTCCCTGTTTAAATTATTTCTTCTTTGTATGGAGAGTCGTGTCTGCTTAAGCATTTCCGTTAATTTCTTCCTTCTTTTGTAATGTCGTCAGCGTTCTCTTTCTACATTTGATCTCTTTCTGACTTTCCTCAAAGGTACATGTTTTATACAGACTTCATATGCTTCAGAAGTCAGTTTTTCTATTCCTTGTGTAGGATTTTTATGTCTTAGAACATTTTCCCATAGAATGTTTGTAAATTCCCTGTTTATTTTCTCCCAGTCTATCCTTTTATTATTAAAATTGATTTATTGAATAACCCTTCTCGCTTGTTGTTTCTCTTGGGCCTACTACCGTTATTAATGTTAGTTTGCACTTCCATGAGCTTGTGGTCCGAGTACGTAGTGTCTGAGACAGTAATGTCTCTGATTAGCTCATCATTGTTCGTGAATATCAGGTCCAGCGCGTTTTCGTTCCTAGTTCTGTAATCTGCTGACTGAGCGGGAATTTGTCACAGAATCTCAGTAGTTCTCTGCCTCTGTAGTTGATTATTTCCAGGTTGATTTCCTGCTATAATGTTATTGTTTACTATTCTCCGTTTTAAACTAGGTAGACTGAAGTCTCCAAGGAAGATAATATCTGGTACTGGGTTTGCTAGGTTATCAAGGATATTCTCTATTTTGTGGATCTGTTCAGTGAATTCCTCAACTGTTGCATCTGGCGGTTTGTATATTAAAATAATAAGTAGAATAATATTCTTTACCTTGATTCCACTTACCTCTACCACCTCATTGGACGAATTCGGGAGCTCTGTGCATGCCAGCTCCTCTTTAATATACAGACCTACTCCTCCACTTGATCTAATTAATCTGTCACATCTATATAGATTATAATTCGGAATCCAGATTTCACTATCCATGTGGTCTTTTGTGTGGGTTTCTGTAAATGCACCAAATATTGAGTTCGATTCTATTTGGAGTTAATTTATGAACTTAACTCTATTTTTTTATTTTGGTTTCAAGCTTGTGAACATTTCATGTTTACAAATATGAATGAATTCCCACATTGTGTGTCACCTCTGGCGGGCCTTGGCAGTTCCCCCCCCCCACTCTACCCAGGTCCAGGGTGTGTTGTTTTGGAAGTGGTTTGTCCAGTTTGGGTAGTAGGACGGGTGTGGTGTAGTACCTGTGTGCTTGTTGATAATTTGTATTCCAGTCGTGTGGGTATCTCGAGAAACAATGGGCAGAGTTTCTTTCACCCTATGCCCCTGTTACCTAGCAGTAAACAGGTACCTGGGTGTTAGTCAGCTGTCACGGGGTGCTTCCTGGGGGTGGAGGCCTGGTCGAGGACCGGGCCGCGGGGACACTAAAAAGCCTCGAAAATCATCTCAAGATAACCTCTCAAGAGGAGATCTCCCTTCCCCTCTGTAATCCTGTAGTGGTTCCATCTGACTGTTCGTCTCTCTTATATTTTCTACTCTGTTTCTGCCTTCCTCTAAAAAAAACTTCCAGTAGTGTCATATTGATCTTCCAGTCTATAACGCTCTGTACCTCTCACATGGAATTCCGGACACTGAGGATTGTAGCATTTTTTGTCCCTAATTGAAAATTTACATAATTTAGGGTGGAAGTATGTACACCTCGTTCCAAAACGACATGTACCCCTCGCCAACATGTTCCTGCATTTTCGAGGATGCAGATAATTGCATTTTGCTCCTAATTTTCCATATTTGGTTGTATGGCTATGTTGTGACCAGACTGTTGTCAGTGTGGCTATGTTGTGACCAGACTGTTGTCAGTGTGGCTATGTTGTGACCAGACTGTTGTCAGTGTGGCTATGTTGTAGGGGAGGTGTGGTTCAGTAGGAGAGGTGTGGTTCAGTAGGAGAGGTGTGGTTCAGTGGGGGAGGTGTGACTCCAGGGCTCACTTACCCAGCTTGGAGGAAGCTGTCCCCGTCGTCGTCTCCGGCCAGGTCTCCTCCATCGAATAAGCTTCGGCCGTTCGTCAGACTCAGCAGCGCCAGCGTCAGCACCTGACACACAAGCAAGGGATCAATGGGGGATACATTAGTCACAACCATACAGGCCTACAACCTACATAACCAAGTGCTCAATGAGGCTACATTAATCACAACTATGAAGGTCTACCCACCACACAACATTGTGTTCATTGCACATATATTAATCAGCAACCATGCAGGCTTCCTATATTCACATGTCAATGCGAGTAATTAAGTACTAAATAAAGTCAATTTAATTGTGAATATCAGTAAAAAGAATTGCTTCCAATTATTATATCTAAATAAGAATGTTCGAGGTCGGAGGTCAAACGACTTGGGCTAGCCTCATCAAACTCAGCAGGGTAACTGGTATATGTTCGAGTATGGTCATTGGTGGAGTCAAACCCTATGAGGATCGAGCTCAGTTTTGTATGACACGGAGGTCGTTTTTGCCATTTTAGACAAAATTTTATATTGTGTGAAATTGCAAAATGATACCAGTTTCCAATCTCTCAAAATTCTGTCTCCGTCCACTCTGGCTCACCCGGTAGATTATTTCTGCGTTATGATCATATGTTTGTTTGTCTCTGTGATATCGACGCCATCTGTGGAGCACTACCGACCACAATTCGTTTTGGAGGTGGGTTGATGACTAACGCCCTCTGTTGAGGGAGGTGACGATCTCAACACCATCTATTGAGTGCACCCGACCACATTTTCTGTTCCCCGGTGAAAGGCTGTCATCATATTTTATCCCTGTATAGTATGTCTTGATAATGACGTGTTTAGTTCGCAGAAGTGATGCGGAGAGTATCGTGGTGAGCAGGACTCAGTTCACCCAGGACAGTCCTCAACTCCAGACGTGTTCCAGTGGGAACAAGTGGCCGCGTCGGTATAGACAGTGATTTGTCTATAAATACTTGCGAAGTATTAGTGACTGGACCGACGTACCGGGATAGGCCAAGTTGAGAGACGTCGTTAAGACGAGTTAAGAGACGGAATATTGTTGTTTTAGATTTAGCTACTCAGAACGAAATGTCCATGTAGCACGGGCTATGGTGAGCCCATAAACGAGACGGAAGTACGATCCGTCTGTTAAGGTTTGTTGTTAGCCTGTGTATTCACTTAGCTGTGCTTACGGGGCTCTTGAGCTCTTGCTCATTGGGCCCACCTCTCAACTGTCAACCAACTAATCCCCCCCCCCCTGCAAAAGCTGGGCGCTGGAAACCAAAAGCTGAACACAGGATACAAAATGGAAAAAAATAAAATCTCCTAGACTCTAAAAGAGGAAGAGAATGTATATCATACAGAACGGCTTCCTACGCCTACGTCAGCCAGGAGAGATGTTTGGACTGGAGCTTGGGACTGTGTGGAGCAAGTGGGCGACAGTCATCTGCTCACATCAGTGAACATGGTCGAGGTCATCACGATGTCAGGAGTCGCATCCAGTTGAGCAATAATCCCCAGAGTGTAGTAGATCACCGCAGAGAAAGCAGCTTCTCCTCGTCAATATAAAGATGAATGTTGCTTCAACACGGTCGGCTCAGCTTCCTGTACGAAGTCGGTAGTCGCTGTGCAATCGATCGAAAGTGAGTTATCCTGAGCACCGTGGTCTCCTATTTCTATAAGCACCTTTCTCCGATGTTGGTGTATTAGATTCAGCTACTCTGAATAAAAAGTTGCAAGTAGCACGGGCTATGGTGATCACATAGTGGACTTATCTGGCACAAGAGCGGGGCTATAACTCTGGTGCCTTACTCCGTGTATGAGCATGCTCACATACGGTTTGTTTGACTACTTACAAACTTCATGATGGAGATTGGGTGAGGTGGAGCTCCCTCGCTAGTGACTGGATGTACAAGACTACCAGAACGCACCCAACACTGCCTTTATATATCTGCGCACACCTGATGTTGGAAGGACACACCAGAAACCCTGAGGGTACAGGAGAGGGGGGCGGGGGTGGAGCTGGGAGGGGCATGTGGATGGGACGGGGCAAAATAAACGGGCTGGTACTGGGTTGGGCAGAGGGTGCTGGGTAAGGCAGAGGGAGTGGGGAGATGCTAGGGTGTCGAGGACAAAGGGAGGTGGTGCTGGGTAAGGCAGAGGGAGTGGGGGAGGTACTTTTTTTATTATTATTATTATTATTTTCTACCACAGACGTGGCCAGACATTTACAATGCTAACCAGCATATATACATTTTCTTCTGTCCTCCATGGACAGGGTTAGAGATGTGTTAAACATATAGTTCAAGGGTTTATTGAACACTCAACCGCAGAAGGTGATTCGGTGCTTTTAAAATTCTAAGCTAACCTACATACGTAAATACATAGATACACAGATTTACGTATGCCCTACATAAAGTGTTTGTGTCTTTTACATAGTGTCATTAATGTACATTCACAAAGGTGAAATGTAATTCTGATCAGCTTCCATATATACTTTATACCCATACATATACATACACACACACATATACATACATATATACACACACATGCATTCACATACATTTGTCTCATTTACTCTGACAGGGTGAGATAGCTGATAAAGAAACTAGTGTGCAATTAAGCACTTAATCACTGAAGGTGATGAAGGTGCTTTTACAAGCTCGGGTTATATAGTTACATCATATATATACATTGTATAAATGATATATTACATGGTCAATCTTGGATACAAGTCCAATATATCATCAAGTGTTCCAGTACTCGTATAGTAACTACAGAGTTCAGCATACCTTAGCCCAGGAGGGCGAAAGTCAGTCAGTATGGGACATTCTACAATATAATGCTCAAGAGAGTGCATGTTTTCTCTTTCACAAAGTTGACACATTGTGTACTCAACATTTGGGTTTTGAGAAAGCTGCCAGATACGTCTATATCCCAGGCGTATTCTGGCCACTATAACATCGCATTGCCGGGTTCTTGTTCTATTAGTCCCATATGTGAATGCCTCCTCACGGGGAGGTACTAGTATGAGGTAGAGCCCTGCCCGAAACGCTGTGCGTGTTAGTGACTTTGCAAGAATGGTATTTTTACAACCTTGTGCAATCTCGCATATCCATTGTACCTTGTAAATATTATTATTATTATAGGAGTGAGATGGTGAGTGGGGCAGTAGTGAGAGGTGATGGGGTGGATCAGATGATGGGAGGAGGTTCTTTTTTCTATTGTTTTTCTGTTTATTTTTTTCTATTGTACACTTTCCTCAGGATATGTGGTTCATAGTTGTTGACTTCCTGTGCCAATCTGTAGAGTCTGATCTTGCAGCTCTTGTGGTCATTGTACATACTCTGCACTGCTCTCTTTCAATAATTTTCTTAATCTGTGCAAGGCTCTGTGGTATGTAAATGTATACGTTCCCTCTTTTAGTGGCAAGTTTTGAAGCTGGAATTCCTCTATGACTTGGCATCCATATGATTAGTATTCGAAGACCTTGGCGTTTGAATTCTTGCATTAATGCTAAAGAATTTCCTGTCAACTGCAGCTCCAGCTTGTTGTCTCCGCTGGTCTACTGCTCCGACTGTGAAGTATGTGAAGCTGTCAGATGCCAAGTGTGCTTCTATATTCATGTGTGAAATGATCGGTGGCAGGTGGTGATTAGTCTGATTCATTTTCCTTGAATAATCTTAGTTTGCTGACACCAATACCAAAAGGGTTCGCATAAGGAAGTCTGCACGTAGTGTTGACACCTTTCTCAGTGATTGTATTTGTAAGGTATTGATAGTATTTAGTGTACAGTGGGTCCATCTGGTGCTATTGAAAGTCTTCTGAACTGAGTTAGTGATCCATTGTTTACATCACTAAGTCAACTGCTGTTTGGTAGGGTCAATATCTTGGAGATTGGCAGCGTCTGACACTCTTCCTTGGAGCATCTTGAAGTCTGCCAGTGTCCGACTCTGTTCCTTGGGGCATCTTGATCCACTCCTACAAAAAATTATCTAGTAATTAAGAAGAAATACTTAACAAATTAAAATCAGACGTTTCAGTATTTTTGCTAAAGTAAGTGTGAGTACCAGTGCCAGGTGCGGTGCTTACAACGTTCATGCAAACCATACATAATTTATCATGAAATATTTCCATCTGGTTTCTTATATTCCCCACCCATGTCTGAGACGCGCCAGCTGGGTGAACTGAAACACATGTGACAATTTAAGGAAGGTGATTTAAGGCCCAGTCACGTTCTATAAAAGAATTGTTAAAAAATATTCTGCCATTATCTAACTGTTACTACTTACTACTACTACCAAGATCTACCCTGGACTTATGTGATCACCCGTCATAACTCTTCCTTTTCGAGGAAGAGGTTCCCCAACGTCAAGAAACTGTCATACTAAAGTCCCCTTATCCTAACCTTCCAGAGGACCCAACACAGAAAACGGGACAGTATGTCAATTTCGCGAGTTGCTTCCATTTTATAGTACGACGATTTTTTTGGGCCTTAGGTAGAGTATACGTCAAAATGCAACGCTCTTATTAGTGAGGACGGGTTGCTTCCCCACTTCCTGTAGTCCTAATTTAGATTCGTCACTGCAACACCCCACACCCGGCTACAGTCGTCCCTTCCATACTCACTCCAAACTCGTCTCGACTCAACAAGCCACATCGTTGTCCCTAGACTGGCTTGGCTTGCCGTCGTGGCTGCCACAGGTGGAAGAGGACTTGAGGGGCCCGCGGCTCTCACATCAATGAGTTCGCGCCTGTACCATTCCCGCCTTCCCTTCCTGACCTGATAGTCACAACCTTAAGCCACCACAACCTGAATTGCCGTAGGCGTCGTCTCCTGTTTCAACTGCAATCGCCTTGTTTCAACCAGTTATGAACCCCCAGGTAGCCTGGTGAAGCGAGTCTACCATGTGAGAGTTATTCTGTATACTTGATCAGGTATTAAGATGTCAGAGGAAGGAAATATATTAAGTAAACGTCAGCATACAAATAGAGGATGAGGATCTTATAAAAGTTCAAAATAATAAGATGTCGACATTTTTGTGACGTGACATGACACTGGCGGACATCATAATGCGTCACCTGAGTTGCCACAGTCGTCAGGAATAAACGTACGTCACTGTCTCCTGGGAAGATAGAAGACTACGGTTCTGGATAAAGTATATGAGGGAAGGCTACAGTGTACGACTGGTGTGGAAGCTACTGAGGACATGACGTACGTCATTTCTCAGTGATTATGAAGATATTAGAGGCGACCTGAAGCCTAGATGGTGGTCGTTCCTGTGTGAACTCTGTGATATTCCTTCAAATGGAGGGAAGGAAGTAGGTGTTTCTGTGTGAAGCCTGTCAGGCGACTTCGTGTACTGAAGTGAGGACTGAAAGAAGCTGTGAGAGACTGTCCTAAAGGATTTTGTTGGACGACCAAGAGTAACGCCATCTAGGAGCGCCCTCACGTCCTAGAATTCTGCGGTAATCTCATTTAATTAGTTGATATAATGTTTACCTGTGTTTGATCATGTGCCCAGCGATTGTAGAGAATGAATGAATATAGGGTAGATATTTTATTAAGAGAGTGAGCAGAGATAAAGAGTTAGAGATGGGTGGACATGCTAGCGGCAGGAGCAACACATGCTTGCTCGCCTGTAGTCAGTAAGCTGGGGCCGGAGCTTCATTTCGGTGTGGACTCGTACGAAAACGGGGGAGGACCCACCGCGGTAGAGCCAGAGTGTTTTTTTTTTTTTTTTTTTTTTTAAATATCTACCACAGACGTGGCCACACATTTACAATGCTAACCAGCATATATACATTTTCTTCTGTCCTCCATGGACAGGGTTAGAGAAGTGAGCCAGAGTGTTGAAAGGGATACTCGACTTTATTAGTGCGAAATATTAAAAAATAAAAAGTTATCCATTTACTTTGCAAAAGGGGCAGGACTTGAGAAGGCCTCAGCTTTGGAACAATCATTTGTTTTATGCTATCATGGTCAAGGTGAGAATAGGGGAGTATTTGTTACTTCTTCCGAGATCATTGAATAATATTTACAGAAGATTCTTTTTTAATTTTAGTTTTCAAACCATTTTGATTGGTATAGCCAGCAGGCGTTTGGGGGTTCATAATGTGATCCCTGGCACGCTGTGCCCTATTGTATTCTGGCGACCCCGACCAGCCTATGTCCGTCCCGTACTTCAGACCACTCGCCGTGCAAATTTTGGTAAATTTTCCCCAGAGTAAAATCCTTCAAATTCTCATAATATCAGATTTAACCGTTTAGTGAGTAAGTCTGTAAGTCATATATCATAAGTCACTGTAAGTCTACCTACAGTAAGTATACCAGTATATTGTTCGGGTGTTCGCACTCAATATTACACAGCACAGCATTACTGAATATTACGGGAGCCTGGTGGCTGAGTGGAGAACACACTGTATAAATAGTCCTGTGGCCTGGGGATCGATCCCCGGCAATGGCGGAAACAAATGGGCAGAGTTTCTTTCACCCTCATGCCCCTGTTACCTAGCGGTAAATAGGTACCTGGGAGTTAGACAGCTGCTACAGGCTGCTTCCTGAGGATGTGTGTGAAAAAAATCGTTGGTTGACAGTTGAGAGGCGGGTCGAAAGAGCCAGAGCTCAACTCCCCCAAAACACAACCAGGTGAATACAACTAGGTGAATACAACAATAACAAATAAAGCACCTGTGTCACGATGTTTACAGCGGTGGCTGCGTCTTGCGTCATAACCCAGAACCTTTAATTATACAATCTAAACTAAGCCTAATTATATTGAATAGAAAACAAGACTCGTCCAGATGATGTCAGAAGGTCATCAATTTGATACCCAGCAGGGCAGCCAGTCTCCAACCAGGAGTTTAGTTTAGTTCCTTTATTATGCACCCATACCCATCTTGTGGGCGGTAGTGGTTACAGAGGCACATAATGGGCTCAGGGACTGAACCCCACAATTCATTTAGTTAAGCAAGTTTCAATCTTGATGAGCTAACCGTAAAATTCAATGCACATCGTCACATCATCAATGTGTTCGAGATCGACCACAAGTACAGTTTCTAAATTAAGCAACTGACATATGTGGAGAGCTATTGTCACAGTTGATATGTTTGTCCTGCACACCGCCCCCCATCCAGTGGGCAGCGGTGGATAGGTTACAATCACTTAGTTACTACCTACAGTTAGCAAACTGGGAATATTTGGGTTAAATTTCTGGTAGCAGATCATTTTGAATGAAATATTGACACATCCCTAGTTCAGAGTTCAGTATTCCTCTACACACCCCTGGCCACCCTTCTTTTGCAATAATTCATTTATTTCTTGAGTTAATAAGTCTATTGAACTTATATTTATGAATGCTATCCTTCGACCATCCCATGTAACTGTGGGCTGGTGAAGCAGTCAACCATCCCATGCAGCTGTGGACTGGTGAAGCAGTCAACCATCCAATGTAACTGTGGACTGGTGAAGCAGTCAACCATCCCATGTAACTGTGGACTGGTGAAGCAGTCAACCATCCCATGCAGCTGTGGACTGGTGAAGCAGTCAACCATCCTATGCAGCTGTGAACTGGTGAAGCAGTCAACCATCCCATGCAGCTGTGGACTGGTGAAGCAGTCAACCATCCCATGCAGCTGTGGACTGGTGAAGCAGTCAACCATCCCATGCAGCTGTGGACTGGTGAAGCAGTCAACCATCCCATGCAGCTGTGGACTGGTGAAGCAGTCAACCATCCCATGCAGCTGTGGGCTGGTGAAGCAGTCAACCATCCCATGCAGCTGTGGACTGGTGAAGCAGTCAACCATCCCATGCAGCTGTGGACTGGTGAAGCAGCCAACCATCCCCTGCAGCTGTGGACTGGTGAAGCAGCCAACCATCCCATGCAGCTGTGGACTGGTGAAGCAGTCAACCATCCCATGCAGCTGTGGACTGGTGAAGCAGCCAACCATGCCATGCAGCTGTGGGCAATAATGTAGCACAAACACTGCCGAGCGGACAGGAAGGCGGCTGATTCCTGGAAATATTGATAAAGTGTAGGCCTTGACTCAAGGCTGGTCACCCCACCCATCTGTGGCCGCTCGCCTGCCCTCGCGGCTTTCCTGTCCCGCTCCCCGCGCCTCCTGCCGCCCTCTTCCAGCGCCGCTCCCCGCGTCTCCTGCCGCCCTCTTCCAGCGCCGCTCCCCGCGTCTCCTGCCGCCCTCTTCCAGCGCCGCTCCCCGCGCCTCCTGCCGCCCTCTTCCAGCGCCGCTCCCCGCGCCTCCTGCCGCCCTCTTCCAGCGCCGCTCCCCGCGCCTCCTGCCGCCCTCTTCCAGCGCCGCTCCCCGCGCCTCCTGCCGCCCTCTTCCAGCGCCGCTCCCCGCGCCTCCTGCCGCCCTCTTCCAGCGCCGCTCCCCGCGCCTCCTGCCGCCCTCTTCCAGCGCCGCTCCCCGCGCCTCCTGCCGCCCTCTTCCAGCGCCGCTCCCCGCGCCTCCTGCCGCCCTCTTCCAGCGCCGCTCCCCGCGCCTCCTGCCGCCCTCTTCCAGCGCCGCTCCCCGCGTCTCCTGCCGCCCTCTTCCAGCGCCGCTCCCCGCGCCTCCTGCCGCCCTCTTCCAGCGCCGCTCCCCGCGCCTCCTGCCGCCCTCTTCCAGCGCCGCTCCCCGCGCCTCCTGCCGCCCTCTTCCAGCGCCGCTCCCCGCGCCTCCTGCCGCCCTCTTCCAGCGCCGCTCCCCGCGCCTCCTGCCGCCCTCTTCCAGCGCCGCTCCCCGCGCCTCCTGCCGCCCTCTTCCAGCGCCGCTCCCCGCGCCTCCTGCCGCCCTCTTCCAGCGCCGCTCCCCGCGCCTCCTGCCGCCCTCTTCCAGCGCCGCTCCCCGCGCCTCCTGCCGCCCTCTTCCAGCGCCGCTCCCCGCGCCTCCTGCCGCCCTCTTCCAGCGCCGCTCCCCGCGCCTCCTGCCGCCCTCTTCCAGCGCCGCTCCCCGCGTCTCCTGCCGCCCTCTTCCAGCGCCGCTCCCCGCGCCTCCTGCCGCCCTCTTCCAGCGCCTCTCCCCGCCCGTCCTCAGCGCCTCCTGCCGCCCGCTGCCAGCGCCTCCTGCCGCCCGCTGCCAGCGCCTCCTGCCGGCCGCTGCCAGCGCCTCCTGCCGCCCGCTGCCAGCGCCTCCTGCCGCCCGCTGCCAGCGCCTCCTGCCGCCCGCTGCCAGCGCCTCCTGCCGCCCGCTGCCAGCGCCTCCTGCCGCCCGCTGCCAGCGCCTCCTGCCGGCTGATTTACGCAATCAACAAAAACTATCGCCATTCCAGGTGTGGCAAGACGCCAATTAGAATGATAAAACACCTTGCCAAATATATTTTAATAGAACGGGGTCCCAGCTTGCCTGCCAGTTAAGCTCTCAAAACCACACTTCCGCCAAACTTGTCTCTCACATTTTCTGAAGTTTTAAGAATAAATTTATTTAGATGTTAGTTGTGTATATATTATTTTCCATCCTGATTTGAGGTCTTAAAAATGTCTTCATATCTTAAAGAGGTCTTAAAAATGTCTTCATATCTTAAAGAGGTCTTAAAAATGTCTTCCTATCTTTAAAGAGGTCTTAAAAATGTCTTCCTATCTTAAAGAGGTCTTAAAAATGTCTTCATATCTTAAAGAGGTCTTAAAAATGTCTTCCTATCTTAAAAGAGGTCTTCAAAATGTCTTCATATCTTAAAGAGGTCTTAAAAATGTCTTCATATCTTAAAGAGGTCTTAAAAATGTCTTCATATCTTAAAGAGGTCTTAAAAATGTCTTCCTATCTTTAAAGAGGTCTTAAAAATGTCTTCCTATCTTAAAAGAGGTCTTAAAAATGTCTTCATATCTTAAAGAGGTCTTAAAAATGTCTTCATATCTTAAAGAGGTCTTAAAAATGTCTTCATATCTTCATATCATATCTTAATATCTTACGAGAGGTGGAGTGGATTTGAGTCAAGCGTAGCTCTTGCCGGCCATCCTGCTAAGCTAACGTAGCTCTTGCAGAAGGTCATACTGCCAAGCTATCGTAGCATATGCTGAAGGTCATACTGCTAAGCTATCGTAGCTCATGCTGAAGGTCATACTACTAAGCTATCGTAGCTCAAGCTGAAGGTAATACTGCTAAGCTATCGTAGCTCTTACAGGTAATACTGCTAAGCTATCGTAGCTCATGCTGAAGGTCATACTGCTAAGCTATCGTAGTTCATGCTAAAGAGCATACTGTTAAGCTATCGTAGCTCATGCTGAAGGTCATACTGCTAAGATATCGTAGCTCATGTTGAAGGTTAAACTGCTAAGATATCGTAGCTCATGCTGAAGGTCATACTGCTAAGCTATCGTAGCTCTTGCAGGTTATACTACTCATACTGCTAAGCTATCGTAGCTCATGCTGGCTGAAGGTCACACTGCTAAGCTATGAGGAGCCTGCTGGCAGCTCAGTGACTTGAGAAAACGTCCAGAAATTACTGAATCAGTGTTGGTCATTGTTGTTCA